TTGGTTGACATCGACCAGACTACACAGCGCAACAACCCAGAAGACAGAAATCTTCATACTCATCGCCCTGATGACGGAGGCAGTATGACCTCTGAAACGTTGGTTAACATCGACCGGACTACACAGCGCAACAACCCAGAAGACAGAAATCTTCATTTAACTACTGTTTCTCAAGGACTCTGTTGTTTGGCCCAACTGAAATACAGAAATGTTTTCTTCCTTGCCTTAACCCTTTAAGATTGGGGAGTACATTTTTCCGGTAAATACCGCATTTTCCTCCACTCCTTACTGCTTCATCCCCTCGTGAGTCCGAGAAGCATTGTTTTCACACAATAACGTGTCCCGTCTCTAGACTTCCCGAGAGGCAGGTTCTTTCGCTTCGCCCCCTACCCTCACCGTTACAACAGTACTGCCTGCTAACTGGCTGCAACAATGACATGTACTCTAGTTCTAATAGGCCGACTCTTCGGGTAAAAACCACAATTCACTGCACATTTTTTGGAAGGTTCTTAGGAACCCTACGCGGGGCACCAGTAAATAGCGAAAATAACAAGGACAACCTTGTACCATTCTTCTCGTATCTGTTTGCAGACAGCAAACAGTCCACCGTTCTACCTGCATCCTGCCTGCAAAAACCATTCCAAACGAGAATGCGTTCACAATAAGACATATCAAATCCGTGCTATCTTTTCTGGCATTCCAATTTCCTTCGAAATTTCCTGTATTAGCTTTCCCAGCCAGATAGCAGATGATACTAAACGCTTCACACGCACGCACGCATACTATGGCAGAATACTCTACCAATTTCCATACAAGAGACGAGAGATGCTGGAAGAGAACGGAGAATTCCAACGAAAGGCTTGTTTGTATCAGTCGCATAATAATTATATGCCGGTATCAGATTTAAGGTTTTGACAGCGTTTAAAAAGTGCATTGTGGCCATCTGGGTTGTGAAGATATGACGTCTCATAGCGCCACTACCAAGAAACCACAATCAACCTCCTCTCTGCCGTGAGAACCTCAAATATCAGGCAGAAGACTGCAGCCCTCGTTAAGGGAGTACTGAGTTTACGTTTATAAACAACTACAAGGCTGCAGTATATTTTACAATATGCTATTGTTGTTAATATTATTAATCTTAATTATTATCATCATAATCATCATTCACCCTTCATCTGGCTTCTTTACTGTTAAGGTCTTTAAACTGAATTGAATTATTATAGCTATCATCATTAAGGCGTCTATATATATATATATATATGTCTGACGACAGGTCCATATGAACAGGATCCTTCCATCCTTTTCTCGGACTGGGACCTGTTCATATACGTTCTTGGCAGATGATCCA